TGTGGGCTCAGGGGAACACACCCACTAGCCTAGTATGTAGGCATTAGAGCATGCCTGAGCATAGTAGGTGTGTGTGGGCTCAGGGGAACACACCCACTAGCCTAGTATGTGGCATTAGAGCATGCCTGAGCATAGTAGGTGTGTGTGGGCTCAGGGGAACACACCCACTAGCCTAGTATGTGGCATTAGAGCATGCCTGAGCATAGTAAGAGTATGTGGGCTCAGAGGAACACACCCACTAGCCTAGGACACACTTACTATGCTCAGGCATGCTCCAAGGCTACATACTAGGCTAGTGGGTGTGTTCCCCTGAGCCCACACACACTTACTATGCTCAGGCATGCTCTAAGCCTACATACTAGGCTAGTGGGTGTGTTCCCCTGAGCCCACACACTCCTACTATGCTCAGGCATGCTCTAAGCCTACATATTAGAGCATGCCTGAGCATAGTAAGAGTTGTGGGCTCAGGGGAACACACCCACTAGCCTAGTAGAGTATGTAGGCTTAGAGCATGCCTGAGCATAGTAAGTGTGTGTGTGCTCAGGGGAACACCCACTAGCCTAGTAGAGTATGTGGGCTTAGAGGATGTATTTTAGCAACGCACATACCATAATACAAAATTTTTGGCCACACGTGACATGGCAGCGATATGGTCACAAAGTGCCCATCACACGTACAAAAATTACTTTCATATATAGCCTATATATATGTATATATGTATGTATATATATATATATACACATACACACATATATATATATATACACACACATATAGCAATAAATATATATATGTATATATATATATATATTATACACACATATATATATATATACACACACNCTGACCCTGCAAGCATCGTCTGTGCTTGACACAGGTGTGGTGTGTGGAGTGAGGGGGGGGGGCAGTGCCGGAGAGATAACAAATTGCACAATCTTTATTTTTGACGTCAGCGATGCGAACCCAGGTGGCGCCGCCGTTGCCGTATCGTAAATAAACGGCGGCGGCACGGACAAATGCCAACAGGTGGCGCTGTTTCGGGCCACAGAAACCTGCCGTCCTGCAGCAAACAGTAGAACGCCGCGCGCGCACGCCATGCGCGCACGCCATGCGCGCACGCCATTTTGTAAATTCTCGCTTTCGTGTATCTGTTGCCAAATGCTCTCTGTCGGTCGGCGGGCAATGATGGCGCGCGAGGCTTGGTAGTTGTAGAAGTCGGTCGGTCAGGTAACGTGCCACGACTGCGAACAAGGTCGGTCACCTGCGGTAGCTTTGCTGTGTGTCTGGCATTTGTTAGTACGAATGTAAAAAAAAATCTTCAAATGCTCAAACGGTCGCCCGTAGTCCACAGTGTATATACATATAATATGTATGTACATATATGTATGTATATGTATATGTATATATATATATATATATAT